CCTCCAAGTTCCCTTCCAGCCCTATGTTTCTATGATCTTGGGCAGGGGGGTTGACTAGAAGACCTCCAAGGTCCCTTCCAACTCTAGTTATTCTGTATTATATTCTGTAGACTCCCTAGGTGTGTAATGATGCCACAGCTTAGCGGGAACCCCCCCCCACTCAAAAGTCCCTAATTAAGCCCCGGAACCTTTGTCAGTTGTGTTGTGTGTTGTTATGCAGAGATACAGAAGCTGGAAGGAAAACTTCTTTTTGCTGTTTGATTCTTAAGAACCAGGAAAAAAAATAAGGTTTTGATGGGATTAGGAAGAGTTAAGTTTTCAAACTTGGTCCCTTTAAGACAGGTGGACTTCAACTCCCAGAATTCCCCATTCAACCAGGCCTCCGTTTTTTTTTTCTTTCCCTCCCACTCCCTAGAGTGGGGAGATTGCAGAGAAAGGGATTACAAGAGAGTAAGCAGGCATAGACAGTTGGAGTCTTAGCGAAAGTGGCTGGGGAATTCTGGGAGTTGGAGTCCACCAGTCTTAAATCAGGGGGTCTCCAACCTTGGCCACTTTAGGACTTGTGGACTTCGACTCCCAGAATTCCCCATTCAATTAGCATGTTTTTCCCCCCCTCCTATTCCCTAGAGTGGGGAGATTGCAGAAGAAAGGGATTACAAGAGAGTAAGCAGGCATAGAGTTGGAGTCTAGCGAAGCTGGCTGGGGAATTCTGGGAGTTGGAGTCCTCCAGGCTTAAAGTTGCCAAGGTTGGAGACCCATGGTTTAGTTGACCTCAGCTTTGTAATAGATAAAACCATGCTTGGCGGCCTATGCCAGCCCAGCATGATGGTTTCTGGAGTGAACAACCACTCAGAGCAACGCGGAGTTATAGATTTCCCCTGGGTTTTCTTTTTTTCTTTTTTTTCGCATCAACCTCCCACAGCCGGGAAAAACGAAAGAATAAATCGCAAGGCAGATCTTTAACTTTCTGGCAGATCCGCCGTATCAAATATTGAGACAGGTTTTCTTCGTTGCGACCTGTCCCTTCTGAACGCTTACAGCCAATCCTCATTTTACAACCATTTTACAACTGTTCAGGATTAGGAAGAGTTAAGTTTTAAACCTTGGCAACTTTAGGACTACAGGACTCCAACTCTCAGAATTCCCCAGCCAGCTTCACTAGACTTCAATTCTATGCTTGCTTACTCTCTTGTAATCCCTTCCTCTGCAATCTCTCTAATCTAGGGAGTAGGAAGGAAAGGGGAAAAAAACCAGGCCTGGTTGAATGGGGAATTCTGGGAGTTGAAGTCCCTTAAAACAGCCATGTTTGAAAGACATCCATGTGGAATGAAGCGGTTTTCTTCCTTGGCATAAAAGCAAGGGTCTTTCAAACTTGGCAAGTTTAAGACTTGTGGACTTGAGCCTTGGTTAACCATGTTTGATGTATTTGAGCCTTGGATGACCATGATTGATATATGTGAGCCTTTGATGATCATGGTTGATGTGTGTGAGCTTTGGTTGACAATGGTTGATGTGTGTGAGCCTTGGATGACCATGGTTGATGTGTGTGAACCTTGGTTGAGCATAGTTGATGCTCAACTATGGATGAGCCTTGATTTGTTTGAGCCTTGGTTAACAATGGTTGATGTGTGTGAGCCTAGGATAATCATGGGTGATGTGTGTGAACCTTGGGTGAGCATAGTTGATGTGTTTGAGCCTTGGATGAGCCTTGATTTGTTTGAGCCTTGGTTAACCATAGTTGAAGTGTGTGAGCCTTGGATGACTGTGATTAATATGTGTGAGCCTTGGATGACCATGGTTGATGTCTGTGAGCTTTGGATGACAGTGGTTGACATGGGTGAGCTTTTGGTGACAGTGGTTGATGTTTATGAACTTAAGAAAGCCATGGTTTATGTGTGTGAGCCTTGGATAACCATGGTTGATGTTTTTGAGCCTTGGTTAACCATGGTTGATATATGTGAGCTTTGAATGAGCCTGTTTGATATGTGTGAGTCTTGAATGACCATGGTTGATTTATTTGAGCCTTGGATGATCATGTTTGATGTATGTGAAACTTGGATGACCATGGTTGATGTGTTGGAGACTTGGATGACCGTGATTGATTTGTTTGAGCCTTGGATGACCACGGTTGATGTGTTTGAGCCTTGGTTAACCATGGTTGATGTCTGTGAGCCTTGAATGAGCCTGATTGATGTGTGTGAGCCTCAAATAACCATGGTTGATGCACGTGAGCCTTGGATGACCATGATTGACGTGGGTAAGCTTCGGATGACCACGTTTGATGATTGTGTGAATCTTGCAAGACCACGGACGAAGTCTGTGTGAATCTTGAAAGACCATGAGTGACGCCTCAGTGAAACTTGGGTGGCCACGGAGGAAGTCTGGGTGAGTCTTGAAACCATACATGATTCTTGTGTGAACTACTGGATGAAACGTGTGTGAATCTTTGCAGGCCATGGACAATGCCTCTGCGAGTCTCGGAAGACCATGGCTGGTGTGTGTGTGTGTGTGTGTGTGTGTATGTATCTCCTCCATCCATGGTGTCTTCTTATTCTTCCTTCCTCCTTTCCATCTCTTCATTTTTCTCCATCCATCCATTAATCCAGAGGTTTCCAAACTTGGCTACTTTAAGACTTGTGGACATCAACTCCCAGAATTCCCCAGCCAGCTTCGCTAACACTTCAACTCTCTATGCCTGCTTAATCTAGGGAGTAGGAGGGGGGTGGGTGGGAAACAGGCATGGTTGAATGGGGAATTCTGGGAGTTGAAGTCCACCAAGTCTTAAAGTGGCCAAGGTTGGGGGAACCCTGGATTAATCCATCCGTTCCTCCCCTTGACTCTCCCCTCCCCATGAAGTCCCAGGTGTGGATTGCTGCCTTCCTCCTCGTCCCTCCCCCAATCCCTTCCCCAGTCTGTCCGGGCATTGTGGGGGAGAGTGTGGGGTTCTGCGCCCCCCCTCCCAGCCCCCTCTCTCTGGGCCTTTGGATTCTCCCAGACACAATTTGGTACTAATTACATGTTTCCTACTCCTAATTGCCACATTGTGAATGATCAACAAAATAACTCCAATTTTATTTAATTAAAGACCGGGGAGAATTTGGTACGGTGATGGTGGGGAGGTTAGAGAGAGAAGGCCACAGCCCGAGGAGGAGGAGGAGGAGGAGGAGGAGGAAGGCCCGATGCTAACCGGGACCCCTGCCCCGTCGTGGGGCCTGGGGTACCCAAATAGAGTGTCCGGTCTCCACGCCGTCATTGACTTAACGTCCATTCGTTTACATTCATGGGAGACTGGGCCTCCTCCGTAGACATTCCTTTAGCAAGCGTTCAAGGTTACAGCGGGTTCGGGGGGAACTCTGATTTATGACCAGTCCTCGGACTTACGGCCGTCATAAGTATGAACATTTAGAGCGGCATGTAGTCTAGAACGGGTGCAGCGTCCCGTGATTCCCCCCCCCCTGTTTCCGACACGCGAAGTCAACGGGGGAAGCCAGAGTCGGTTAACAATGGTGTGTCTCTCTTAACAACTGGAGTGATTTGTTTAATGGCCCCAAAAAACAAAAAAAGGTCGTCAAATGGGGCCAAACACCCTGAATGAAATTCCCTTGCTTGGCGACGGCGAGTTGAGGCCCCAGTGTGGTCATAAGTCGAGGACCCCCTTGTACGGCAGGAGTCCTTGAATGGTGGTGGCGATCCGCTTAATGACGGTGTCAATGCAGACCATAAAAACTGAGCATGACTCACTTAACAACAGCAATGGCGGCTGTAGGTTGAGGGCTGCCTGTCCTTGACGTACAACCATTTGTTTAGCGACCGTTTGCAGCCGCAACGGCCCGGAAACAAGGGACTGAGGAGCGTTTTTCACACTTAACGACCAAATCACGGCATCCCGTTGGTCGCGCAATTGAAATTCCAGGTGCTTGGCCCCTGACTCATCTTTATGACGGTCTCAGGGTGATCCTCTTTTTTTGCGACTTTCCGGCGAGCGAAGCCCATGGAGGGAAGTTGGATTCCCTCAACGACCGTGTGACTCACGGATTCACTTTAACAACCACAGCAAGAAAAGTCGTAAAAACGGGGCACAATTCACTTAAGAAGTGTCCCTCTCTTAAGCGATAGAAAATTGGGGAGCCCCATGGTGGTCACAGCTGAGGACTCCCTATATAAGCCGCGTGTCCCACAAGTTGGTCTTAACTGTGAGTCACCTGGACTCCCCCGTTGTCCTTCCACCTCTTGGTTAGGGGTGATCCTGGGGTCAAAGGGTGCCCTTTCCCCGAAACAGGACGAGTTACGGGTTCTCCTTCTTGAGGGACCTTGGAATCCTGTAGGTGGGCCTTGGGATGCTTTTGGTGAAGGTGGAGTACTCCACCCTGGTGGTCTTCTACTCCACCCTGCGGGCCTGGTGGGCCTCTTGGGTCCCTCACGAAGACATGGGCCTTCCCTCTTCTTCCTGGGAACTAGAACCCGGTGAGATGCTCGCCTACTGTGGCTTCAGTGTCTTCGTGGAAGTCCACCACTGGAACTTGGCCTAAACCCTCCTCCTACATTTCTGCTCACTCCAGACTGTTTCCTGAAATGAGTTTTGGGGTTGGAAGACGTGGTGGGTGGGTGGGTGGGAAGGTGAGTCCCAACGGATCTCCCTGGAGACGTCTTCAGCAGGGATGGAGAAGGTTATTTGTTGGACCATGGGGTCCACCTTGCTCCTCCTCCCTGTTGCCTTTTTCTCGTCTTACTTCTGGTTGACCCACAACTTCTCTCTCTTCTTCTTCCTCCCGGAACCTCTAGGTGCCTCTTTCGGACCGTCTGGCTGGCCGTTGAGGTGCTCCGAACCCACCATGGAACGCAACAGATGCCCTATCTTGGCCAGAACATTTTGGAGGTTCTCCTGTTAGGACGGCCGCGTTTCCTCAACTTCTGAGCTTGGCCCGCGACCTCTCCAGCCTTACTTCCTCCTCCTCCTCCTCCTCCTCCTCCTCCTCCTCCTCTCCTGGTGCTTCTCCTCGGGTTGGCCGTTTCCTGACTCTTTCTCTCCTCCCCCTCCCCCGCTTGTGAAGGACCTCCGGCCTGGGCACCTTCTCTGGCCACCATGTTCCTCTCGTCTCCTAGCTTCGTCCGCCGGTTGCTGAACATCCGGCCGGGTTCCGCCCTCCTCTTTTGGCTGCTGGGCCTGGCCTTGCGCCCGTCGCCCCTCTCGGGCCAGAAGCCTGAAGACAAGTACCCCGTGGTGCCCACCAACTACGGGAAGCTGCGTGGCATCAAAAAAGGCCTGAACAACGAGATCCTCGGCCCCGTGGTGCAGTACCTGGGCATCCCCTACGCCACGCCGCCCATCGGCGAGCGCCGCTTCCAGCCGCCCGAGGCGCCAGCTTCCTGGTCCGAGGTGCGCAATGCCACGGCGTTCGCCCCGGTGTGCCCGCAGAACATCCACGGCATGCTGCCTGCCATCATGCTGCCGGTTTGGTTCACCGACAACCTGGAGATCGTGGCCAGCTACGTCCAGAACCAGAGCGAAGATTGCCTGTACCTCAATGTCTACGTCCCCATGGAGGATGGTAAGCGGCGGGCAAGCGGCTGGGCACGGTAGTGTTGTTGTTGGTGGGTATTGAGCACCCTTCTCGGGTCCTGCTGGGCATCCGGAGGGGTCTTCCCTACCGAAGGCACACATACCCCCCTCTTCTTTTCTCTCGATTTCTTTCCCCGTTTGAATTTGTGCCACACCTGCAACCCGACCCAGCGTACCAACTTCGGCCCTTCTTCGCCCAAGGTGTGCCCGCCTCCATTTTTCTCGGGAGGGAGGGAAAGGGGGCACAAAGAGCTTTCTTCCGGTGGGCCAACGAAGCCCCCTGCAATGACCCAAAGGAGCATATGGCACAAAGATAATATCTTTATTATTAGCTCCAACTTTGCCCCCAATGTCCTGGTTACCTGGTTACCTTCTGGGCCGGAGAAAAACTCTCCCAGCAGAGATTCAAATCCAAAACGTGGTCAACAAAAACGGTAACTTAAAGTCCAATCAAGGCAAAATGAAGTCATTTAGTCTGGCAGGGCAGGAGAAGGAATTCCAGACGTCAACCAGTAATGAAGATAAGCAAAGCCAGGAAAAACTACCCGTTTGCTCCCGGCGAACGCTTCTGTCAGCTTGCATCTCTTTTAAACTCTCTTCCTAGCTGGGGCTAATGAAGGGAATCAGGGCCCTTTCCTTCTCCGTAAGCCAGGCGACCCCCGTTGCTCCCTTCTCGGTTCCTCCCTGCATTCCTCTCTCTGCGTTCCTCTCCTAGGATGGAGAGGGGTTGGGTGGGCCTGGGTCTTCCTCTGCATGCCCTCTCCCTTGTTCTACCTCTCCCCTGCTCTGCCCAGCCGGACTTTGCTCTTCCCCAGTTTCCTCCACAGCCAATGGAGCCCCGCTCCTGCTCCCTGTCGGCTGTTTCGTCTTCCTCCTTGGATTCGGAAAATGAGGGTCTCTCTCTCTCTCTCTCTCTCTCTCTCTCTGTAAATGGAAACTACTGGTTGTATGAGAGCTGAAAAACGCGGAAATATAGGACAGGATAGGGCGGGGCCAGCTGATCGTTGGTGTTACTGGTTCGTGAGAACCAGTCCGAACCAGCAGCATCCCGCCAACTGGGTCAGGGGGAGGTGGCAAGGTGGTGCCCCAAAAGGCAGGAGGTCTCGTTCTTTGGGGTATCTGGGGGTGGGGCTTGCAAAAGAATAGATCATCCGAGTCAGAAGGGACCTTGTAGGTCATCTAGTCCAACCGCCCGCCCAAGCAGTGAGACCCATTTCTGACAGATAGGAGTTCAGTCTCTTCTTGAAAGTGTGGTGGGGGTGGTGGAGACCCCCTCCCCAAAGGAAGGAAGCTCGGGCTTGGCGATTTTGGGTCTGTTTGGGACCCCCCTCCTCTCCTTTCCTTCAGCCCAATCTCTATGGTCCTGGAGGACCCACAACCTTCTGGAGGAGGTTTCCCCAGCACACCCAAAAACCTGTGGGTTTTCCCGGCCGTCCTCAACTTAACGACCGTCTGAAGTTATGGCGGCATTGAAAAAGCCGCGACCGAGGACCATTTTCCCAGACTTCGCACCCATCCAAATTCCGAGGCTTGGCAACTGGCGTGTACTTACGCCTGTTGCAGTGTCCCGGGAAAGGGGGTGGGTGGGACATGCGTCCCTTCCGATGAGCAAAGCCAAGGGAATGGGATTTGCTTAACGACCGTGGGGTATAGTACTAACTTAACCAACTCCCGGCGCTTCACTTTGCAACGGTGGCCAGGAAGAGGTTGCAAAACACACGTTTCGCTTCAGCCCCAGGAACTTTGGGGCTCCGTCATAAGCTGGAGACTATCCCTCACAGGCAGTCCTCGCACTTATGACCGTTCGTTTTTAGCCGCCCTTAGAAGTTACCATGGTGCTGGGAAAAATCCTCAGACTTACAAGTGTTCCGACATCCTTATGGCCACGAAATCAAAATTTGGGTGTAAGTGGAGGACTCATCTCGAAGAGTTGCGACCAAATTCCGTCGCTAAGCAAGGGGGTGGTAAAAGGGAGTGGGGCGAGAGGTGCCGATTGGGAAAGGAATGCCCAAATCCAGCCTTAATCGCCATTCGGTGCTGTCCTAACTTCATTTGGTCGCTGAGTGAATTCGTCGTAAGCCGAGGACCACCTGAAGGCCACTGAATGGCCCAGTCGGGCATCCCATAACGCTCCTTCCTTCTTCCTTCCTCCTCTTCCTCCTTTTCCCTTTCCAAAGGTCCTGATTTTTAACTTCCTCCTCCCCTAATCTTCGACTTGCAACCACAATCGGAACCCAAAGCCAGGCAGTCGCTAAACGAGTTGTGCCTGACATTTTTTTGGTTGTTTTTTTTTTTTTTTTGCCCTGGTCATTAAACTTGTTATTCCCAACAAGGGGAAAAACATAGTTGTTAAGTGAATCAGGCCGTCATTAAGTGAATCCAGCTTTCCTCATGGACGTGGGCTGCGACTGTCATCACTACGAGCCAACTGCCCAGTGCCTGAATTTTGATCACGTGACCCCGAGGATGCAGCGACAGTCGTAAGTGTGGAAAAGGGTCATAAAGGTCCCTTTTCCCCCCCGCCCCCCCCCAGCCCCATTGTAACAAACTGTCGTAAGTTGAGGATTACCAGCATTGGTTTATCTCTCATTTGGGGTGCCCCCTTAATTAGACAGGCCACCCTTTTTTTTCCTGAACCCCAAATACCTCCCCTCCCCCCCCCCCCCTTTCCCCCCCCCCCGGGGCCCGTTTTGGGTCCCGCCCCCCCAACCCCGCTGGGCTGCTGGGGGGGGGGGGGGGGGGGGGTTGGAATAGATGACCTCCAAGGTCCCTTCCAACTCCATGAAGCAACTCAAGGCCTCTGCCCCACCGCCTTTAAAACCGGCTCCGGGGTTTTCCAGGCTGCGTGCCGGAATTCCTGCCAGCCCAGTCTCTCTTTGCACTCACGTGTGCAAATGCACACTTGGGTGGGCTTCCTCTGCCAAAGGATAGGGACGCTGGCCAGAAAACCTTCCCTCTCCCCTCACCATAAGTTTTTCGGAACTTGGCAAACACACACACACACACACACACCCCTGGCCCCCTCCCCCGGCTGGGTTGGGTGGGGTGGGGTCTCCCTCCATCCCTCCCCAGCCCCCCAAAACCTTCGGGGTGACCTCCAATCCTGGCCAAAGCATGGCAAACTATCGGGGTTTGCGTGGAAGTTGGTTATAATAATAATTATTATTATTATTATTAACTTTTATTCATTAAACATGAAACTCAAGTCAGCTGAACATTTAAAAATCGATCAATTATTATTATTATTACTATTTTTCACTTTTATTCATTAAACATGAAACTCAGCTGAACATTTAAAAATCGATCAATTATTATTATTATTATTACTATTATAAACTTTTATTCATTAAACATGAAACTCAATTGAACATTTAAAAATGTATCACAATTATTATTATTTTTATTATCATTATAAAATTTTATTCATTAAACATGAAATTCAGTCAGTTGAACATTTAAAAATGTATCAGTTATTATTACTATTATAAACTTTTATTCATTGAACATGAAACTCAGT